AGCTCCCCCAGGGCAGCACTGCCTGACCTAACCCACCCGGGGCTCCTGGTATCTTACCTGCTGGAGCCGCTAGTCTCAGATTACTGATGGACAGGGGACCTGGCAAGCCTGCTTTGTGCCTGGCAAGTCTGAGCTCCCCATCTGCTGTGCGGAGACAGAAACCAGGGCAGCTGTGTGCCCAGACCCTTCCCGCTGCTGGAGAAGTGGAAGACCGCACTGCCTCGCTGGGGACTTATAGAGACTTAGGGGGAAAGATGAACTGGCCCCATTCTTGCATCTCCTTTTGCTGGATTTACTTTGCTGCCTCCAGACTGAGAGGTAAGAGGCTGGTGGGTGTGCAACGGTCTTAGCTCAGGGTTCACTTCTTTGGTGGAACATTGGGTGGGCCAGGAAAAGAACAGATGCTCTAACTGTAAGGAAGTATTTTGGCTTCTTACTGTCTCATGCTGATCCTGTAAGGCCTGCCAGAGAAACAACTCCACTTGACCCAGAGCTTGTCCCTAGCTGCTGGTAGGTAGGTAGGATGGTAGGATGGTAGGTAGGGATGATAGACCTAATGCTAGTCCTTGGTCTGTTGCTCTTTGCCTTGAAATACACATAACACTGAAGCTTGATCCAGATCCCTCTTTTTGAGCAGCTGTAGAGCCAGCAGATGGAAAATATGCTCAGAAGTTGTTTAATGACCTTTTTGAAGACTACTCTAATGCTCTTCGTCCAGTAGAAGATACAGATAAAGTCCTGAACGTCACACTCCAGATTACACTTTCTCAGATTAAGGATATGGTGAGTCACGTAGTGTTGACGCTTCTGAATAAAACTAACAGTGCTTTCTAAAGGGAATGTCTTGCCTGGGAATTTGAGAGAAAATGAGAACAGACAGCTCTGTGTGCAAGCTGGTGGGAGAAGGGAATTGCAGGGGAGGAACGCTTTCTACAAAATTAATTTCACGAAATCACCTAAACCTTTCCATGAACATTAACAGTCTTAGAACATCTCAAGAAAGTTGGTTACACATTACATGTTCCATTTCTATGAAATGTGCAAAGTCAGCGAAACCATAAAGACAGAAAGCAGAGTTAGGTTGCCAGGAGCTGTGAGAATGATGGGGAAATAGTGATTGACTCTTTGATTGCCATAGGATTTCTCTTTTGGGATGACAAAATGTTCTGGAAGCAGAAAATGGGGATGGTTGCATGTCATTGTGAATAAACTGGAAACCACTGAATTGCACATTTTAAAATGGTTAAAGTGGTGAGTTTCGTGCAATATGAATTTTATTCCAATTTTTAAAAGATGTTTTAAGATGACATACATTAATGCTCATATGTGTTTAGTTACACAGAGTTATGAAACTTCAAAATTTTTTCTTCTGTACATTGTTGATGTTTGCTGACTTTTTCATTCAAAAAAAAAATAATTCATCAGTTGATCAATTTTCATAAAAATTTTAGCAGTTGACCCATGCATCTGATGATTTAAATATTTGTCCACTTGATGTTCCAAACACTAAGCAAGCAGGAAAAATATGACCTTGGCAGTCAATCAAGGGGATAGACTTGAAAAAACTCTCACTTACTGGAAATGGATTAGTGCTCTTGGAATTCCTGTTTTGAAGACAGGTGTTTTACAGACAAAGTGTGTTTGATTGAGGTGTCTACTGGACAGTTATATCTGGGTTAATTGTGCAGGATGAGAGAAACCAAATCCTGACTGCCTATTTGTGGATCCGCCAAATCTGGCATGATGCATATCTCACGTGGGATCGAGACCAATATGATGGACTGGACTCCATCAGGATTCCCAGCGACCTGGTGTGGAGACCGGATATTGTCCTTTATAACAAGTGAGTGCAAGCCAGTAGCTTCTCGGGAATGAATCTGTTGATTGAACGGGACGTAAACATAATGGGGCTTCCCTGGTGGCTCAGCTGGTAAAGAATCCACCTGTAATGGAGGAGACCCAGGTTTGATCCCTGGAGAAGGAAATGGCAACCCACTCCAGTATTCTTGCCTGGAGAATCCCATGGACCGAGGAGCCTGGCGGGCTACAGTCCCTGGGGTCACAAAGAGTCCAACATAATTTAGCAAGTAACCCGCCACCAACCACCACCACCACCACCAAACATAATGAAAAGAGGAGAGTTTGAAGCACGCATGAGGTTAAGTCAATTCGTGTTCCTAGATCCTGAACTGATAGTTATAAAATCTCAGATAATAAAATAATAATGGTCATAAAAATCTCAGAGCTACGTTCTCCCTTTCAGGTGAGAAACGATATTGGAAGTCATGTTTGTTCTCTAGGGCTACTGTAACAAAGTACTACAAACTGGGTGGCTTAAACCACCGGAACTATTGTCTCACAGTTTTGGAGGCTGGGTATGAGATAAAGGTGTTGGCAAGGTCAGTTCCTTCTGAGGCTGTGAGGAACATTCCATGTCTCTGTCCTAGATTCTCGGGTGGTTGCTGGCAATCTTTGGCCCCTTGACTTGTAGAAGCGTCACCCCAATCTCTGCCTTCTTCTTCACATGGTACCATGTTCCCTGTGTGTTGTCTGTGTCCATATTTCCCCTTGCATTGAAGACACTAGTCATGTTGAATTAGATGCCTACCCTACACCAATATGACCTCGTCTTTTTCTAAAAATTAAAGATAATTTTATTGTGCTTTTCTTAACACCAAAAAAATTATAGATTTACTGTTTAAAAAAGATAAAAGTTGTCTAAATTAAGGCACCAAGATAAGTAAAAATTACTCATAATCCCACAGAATATGACCTCTTCTTTTAAATACTTTTAACTACTAATTACATCTGCAATGACTCTGTTCTAAATGAGGTCGCGTTCTGGCATGCCAGGGGCTAGGATTCAACATGTGAACTTTTTGCAGATGCAATTCAGCCCATAGCAGTGGTGCTTCCTTGTCTATGATCATATATGGAAAATACATGATACTGTGACGATTAGGGGGCTTACCAGGCAGTGCAGTGGTAAATCTGCCTGCCGGTGCAGGAGATGCAAGAGACAGGGTTCAATTCCTGGGTTGGGAAGTTCCCCTAGAGTAGGAAATGGCAACCC